CTCGATAGCACTGCCTCGATACACATCAACGTCATTCTTATTTATCCAAGTATTTTTTTTTTGACAAAATATGCAGTCAACAAACTGAGTGAATTTCAAGACATGAATATCTGCATGTGAATTTATTTAAATATTAATGGATATTATTGAGTTGTATTGTTTGATTGCATGCTATACGGCTTGGGCAAGCGTTGCGGCGTTATGTTTTGACCACTATTGTTTTAAATTTTCTCGACAACCAGACAAGCTAGGAACCAGGGTCTTGCGTCATTTTATTCATTTGTGTCTTCCGGATAGTCTCCGAAAATTTCGCTTTCTTAACTCCAGTCATTTATAAGTTATGGTGAAACTAGAGGACTTTACGAAAAAAAGTGATGCGATTCTAGTCGACTGAAAAAATTCTAATTTTTTCTTAAACTAAGACACTTCTGAGAAAAAGGAATAAAATAACAAAGTAATATTTTGAATGGGCTTTCTTTCCGGAAAAAAATTTTCAACTAAATGTTTCGCTGTTACGATATAGTCAAAATACTGAGCGTTACGTTTTCCCAGCTATTTTCAGGAAAATTCTAAATAAAAGTAAAAGTGTTCTCTCGTATTTATTACTAATGCTACAATTTTACGCCTAATCTTAAAACGATTCCCCATTCATTTTTCTACCAGGATTCGTGTTCAGATCGTCTTTGCAACTAGCTTTTAATACTGAAAGCAAAGGCATACATGATACATATTGAAACTTTTACGTGCTCAAGTCGTACAATCTAGGATCATAAACCTGCATGCTGCAAAAAGTAGATAATTTAATTTGGTCAGTTTGCTCGGCATATTTCTATGCACTTATTCTCTTCAGTCGATACAAATTTCTAGACATATTGCACAAACAATTAGTTAATAATTCCTCCTCCTGTTTGTAGAATTATTCACCCGTGCTAAAAGTTGTAGTAGAATATGGTTGAAATAGTAAAGTAACAGTTTAAGGCAAAATTATTTATTTACTCTTCTGGCAATCACTCTTCATCATCATTTTAACCTAAGGATCACTTGATGCACACATCAAAATCGATTTCAATATCATTTCATAATTGATAAATATGTCTACTTAAGAAGCAAACATTAAAATAGTATGACAAATATTGACATTCTTCAATTAAAATTAAATAGAATCATCTTCACTCCTCTTCATCTTCGTTGTTCCCTACACAGCGAGAGAGAGAGAGAGAGAGAGAGAGGGAACTCGTATCATAATGATCGACGGGCCCATCTTTTTGCTTTGTTAGCACTGAGAAAACAAAACCTTGTTAACAAATTAATAGTACGAGTATTGACAATCTAACACATGTCTCATGTTCCCCGATGTATTTTGAGCTGCCTTGATGCGCGATGCGTATTGATTAAAACGTTTCCCCAACTATCTCAATGTAATAGGCAAAATTGTCTAACTTCATATATGTAGACCGAGTGTCACTTTTTCAGCACGGTTCTAATTGAAATTTCAATCGACAATGCTCGGATTTGTTACCAAATCGCACTCCTCTATTTTCAATTATGAATTGATTACAAAGAATTTACTCAATACCTTTCTATTTCTCTGATTTTATTGTTAAAAACAAGTTTTATTTTTATAAGATAAATAAAGCATGTTTAAGAAAAGATTTTCTACAAGAAATCGACAATTTTTTAAAATATTCTAAACTTTTCTTTGTACTGGTCTTGGTTGCTCATTTTCTCTTCTCATTCATGTAGTCTCTCAAACAATTTCAATTTATGATTTGATTCGATTCAATATTCGATCTATTTAATAGAGCTTAAACTATATAGAGTTCAAAAATAGTAAATGTTTGTTCTCATTTTCTCTTTCTCTTTCTCCTGTCTATCACAGAATTTTAATTTTAACATTTCTATACGAAAAAAACGTACTAGCACCATCACTATACACTGTACAGAAATTGAATATTGATGTTTCAGGTTTTATTATTGTAGGTTGTTTGTCCATCTGCATGTTTACTTAACTTTTTGTACAAGAAATCTGAGAATGTTTGAAAAGTTTTCGACGATAAAAAAAAATGAAAATAACAGAAGAAGAAGAAGAAAGTTGAATGTATGGTTTGAAAAGTATTAGAAACAAAAAAACAGTAGAAAAAATGAATAAGGAAATACTAGAGAAGAAAAAAAAGAGATGACTTTTAAAAGTAACAATTTTAAATGTACACGTACATTATTAATTTATAACGAGGAAAATAATTATTGTGATTTTATGGGAATGAATGAGTCTGCACAATATGTTGGAAGTAGATTAATTTATGAATTGGTAAGTGCATAACTTTTGGCTATTATTTCTAGTTAAAAAGATAACTGAAAATTCTAACACATTATGAAATTAAAGACAGACTTACTCTGTCATAGACAACTATCTTTAAACTCTCAACTTAAAACTGCTTTGGTTTTTGCTATAATAGTTAAAAGATCACGTTTGATTTGACTATTGCTCAAAGTTCAAGTGAGAAAAGATGTTCTTTATTGATATTCTTTATTGAGATTATCAAATTAGTCGAGAAATGTCCTAAGTCATTCCTATATAATATGTAAAGTGTCTGAATAATCGCTTATTACAAGGAAAGACATACGACTACTTTTAATGGTCAAATCATAGTTTTTAATCATGAAAATATTCTGATAGTTATCACTTTACGTGACAGAAAAGAAAATATAATGAAGTCACGTTTTTCAAGTTAAACTTTTGATCAAATTTCTGCTAGAAAAACAAAAAAAATTAAGATGTTCTAAGCTCCATGGAGAAATTATTCACCACTATTTCAAGGTTCAACTTCAATGTCTCTTATAAATCAGGAATATTTTTTAACAAAACTCTTTTATTATCACATCTTTACTTAAGGCATAGATATCTTTGACAAGAAAGAGAGATGATTTATTGGTAACACACCAATGACAATAACTGGTAATCAAAGTGACTGGTGATTGTTGTTTATTCTTAGATGGAACTGTTGTGATTTTTTTTCACTCATCGCGGTTATAAATAACTGATCGGTGACGCCGTTAAAAAAAAATTGAAATTTCGTAGTTTTTTCTTTTGCCTTTCATATAGTATAAATAATCATAATGTGCTAAAAAACACTTGTTCTTTTATGTTCAATCATATTGTACTGATGAATATGTGTAAAGCATATACATCATAGAGTACGCACAAATTGGCTTTAACTCACTTACATGTGAGTGTGAGAATGCCGCTAATAAACTGTCAAAGAATAAGTCATTTCTCTTTTTTTGTCATCCTTTTCACAATGTGTTTGGAATAGAAGTAGGAAAAACATTTTTTTGAGAAGAGCATAAGAAAACACTTATATATAGAGAGGACTTCTATCAGAAGACGAAAAGTATTATATATCAAATGAAATATAAGAAAAATTCTTTAAAAAAATATTTGACAAAAATCGGTTAATTCTTGAAAAGAAATACCGATAATCAATAAAAATTAGATACTTATTTCGGTATTTCTGTTCTTTTATTTTTAACATTGTGAGATAATAAAACAGAGAGACAAAATATAATAGTCTTGCTTCATTTCAGACAAATACATCTACTAATTACTTTGCTCTGGGACAATAATAATGTGCGTGATGATCTAGATCATGCAGTTAACTATTTGTTTACCACTATACGAAAGACACGTACATAGTTGAAGTCAATCACACACGGCATATCGAGTAACAAATTAATTATTAAGGCTCAACTTGTATTCTAATAGAAAAAGAGAGAAAAAAAAAAGAAAAATGACTTTTGATAGCTAATCGTGCTAAAACCGAACTTCTTCATCTCTGTGAAGGGGAAATAATGGGCACACATACTTAGTTGACCTTCAATATTTACATACCATTGTTCGACTTTTTTTTCTCTTTAGTTCATGATAACATGAATGAACGTGCTTTTGTCATTTTGAATTTTTACAAAAAGGAATGAAAGATAGTTATCAAATTGACAAAATGGACGGACTATATGACATTGACTGATATCATAGTTTAGTGATAAGATATAAGATACAATATCTGAACATGATCTCTAACATCTTCTCATCTTCAGATAATGAATTATAATCCTAATGAGCATTCTTTAAGACAACTGTTAAGATCGATTTGTGTATGGTTTTAAAGAAGAAGAATAAAAATATCAGAAGAAACATAGATAGAAATTAATCTTTCTCTCAGGTTATCTTCAAAACTAATATCGCGAATATTCCAGTAAAATTTGAATAAAACAAGTTTTTTCTTCCAGTTCACGTCTTGTCTTCAGAGTAAAATAATCTACTTTTCTTACTCAACTTATTAGTACATCTTCTTTCCTGGAAATAAGTTTGAAAGTTAGAATGACTTCTTTCCATTTTGCACCTAGATATCTTTCTTTCTTCTTTGATTTTCCAAAATTGCTAGAGCCAATCCGGTTGTTAAAATAAAGATTTTCCTTGGTTGTTCTTTTTTATCATTTCATATTTTTTTGTATGATTTCTTCTTCTTATTCTTCCTCTTTAAATTATTTTTTTCTTGCTCGCTTTCTCCTTCTCTCTCTCTTTCTCTCTCTCTTCTCTTCTCGAATTTTTATCCTCATCTATTTCCAAATTTTCCCTCTTCTTCTTCCTTGTATCTTTATCATGAAAAAAAACGTACGTTTGTCACTGATGTATATATGTCTCATTCGTTTTTCCTTTTTTTCTTTTTCAAACATCACCATCATATTTGACACATATTTTCAAGTATATAAAAATAATATTAGAACTATCAATCAATCAGTCGTCATCATTCTCTCTCTCTCTCTTTCTCCTTCTCTCACTTCATAGTTGTAAATCCTTTATATTTACTTGAAAAATATCTGTACGTATATACGTCTAAAGATTTTGTTCCGTGGATTATCTTAGCAATTGTGCATCTCTATAATAAAAAAGTCAATTTGTCTGCAAACTTCTCCAAAAATGATATTATAACAAGAGGATCATGCAGCCGACATCATCAAAATCATCGTTTATCTCACCTTCATCGAGTGATAACAATACACACACAACTACACCACCATTATCTTTCGGATCATTAAATTCTTCGGTAAGTTCTTCTGTTACTACCCCAACATTTCCACCTAACGATGATATATGGACAACACAAACAGGCATGTGTTCTCCGTACATGCAATTAGCCTATAATCAATCGAATGGACAAACACAGCGATACTCATTGCCACCAAACGATAAAAATACCATCAATTCAGTTTCTGCTGCTGCTGTTCAGTTTCCACGACGTTTTTCTGCTTCGAAACCACCATTCAGTTATATATCACTTATTACATTAGCGATTAATGAGTGTCCAAATCGAATGTGTACATTAGCCGAGATATACCAGTTTATTCAAGACCGTTTTCCCTATTATCGTCAAAATCAGCAACGATGGCAAAATTCCATTCGACATAGTTTAAGTTTTAATGATTGTTTTGTTAAAGTGCCGAGGAGTGCTGATCGACCTGGTAAGGGTTCATATTGGACGTTGCATCCAGAATCGGGTAATATGTTTGAGAATGGATGTTATCTAAGACGACAAAAACGTTTTAAATGTTTGAAAAAAGATGGCAGTCTATCGAAAGATTATGGACAAAAACTAAATAAAAAATCGAACAACGGCACAAAATGTCGATCGCCAACTGATTCTGGCGGTGAATCGGATTATGATTCACAAGGAGAAACATGTTCAGCATCAACTACTGCTAGTCCTTCTGAAACGCGTCAGACAAATCATCATTATGCCGACTATCAAAATGGTCATCATTATCATCATATAGAACGAGCCATGTATGACGCACAATTAATAGATCATCAGCAGCAGCAACAAGATGCCGATAAACAGTCAAAAACAAATTCTCACGATATCATGGTTAAATCAGAAGTCTACAATCAATTTTCAAATAGTCAACCAACAGCAGCTACGACAACTACTCTTGTTCCATCGATACACACATTATCGATAAACGGTCGTTATACCGGGAACGAATGTACCGATAATTCATATACGACAACAGCAACATCTAAAATAGCTGAACAGTACGATTTTTCTCAATTCAATGCATTAGACTCTCAACATTTTGCCATGAATGGCTCAGCATTTCAACATCCATTTGCAATTAATAGCATTATTAATAATGAAGCATTGATGAAATACAGTCACGATTTAAAACCGTTTTATTCTGATTCGATGTCAGCTGCAGCTGCAGCAGCTTTCTTTACACCATCACCAGTGACAACTAGTGACAATCTAAGAAATATGTCACACAATCTACAAAATGATTATTATTTTTCTGGCCAATAGTCAACAAGATAGATTACGAGATCATATACATTTTGTTCTTGTATATCTTTTTTGTGTATTAATATATTTCACGCAACCGCTAGACGAAATGATAGTTTAGAGCTGACATTTAAAAATACATTCTTCATTAACTTTAAAATTTTGTTTTGCTCTTCGTCCCTGCTCCATGTATCTATTTTCGATAAAGAGTATTCTGAATCCTTTCAAATTTAACTAACAATTTTAATAACTAGGGCTTTTAATTATAAAGTGTACCTTACTTAAGTTAACAGATTTCTAATCTGGGCTTTTGTGATGTCTTATTATCTAGTTATACAGAAAGAAAAATCGATACTAGTCTATAATATTTTTTGTTTATCAACAATTAGAATGCATCAGATCAAAAAATTTACATTTGTTTGTTATCTAGCTTATTTCAGACATTACTCGTTTTTTTTATTCATTTGAATTCTTCAACACAATAGTGATTCGACGGTGTTTCAATTTTCTTTTCTTTTTGTCGGTAAAAATGTTCTTTTTTTTTTCTTTTCTCACTCTTTATTGTATAATGACATTTTTCTTTTTTTTTGATTTTTTTTGAAACTAGACTTCTTTCTATGTCATTTTCTTTTTCTATTGTTTATATTTGATCCAGAAACATACAATGTTTGTTGTTGAAATTTTCGTTGAGCAACAATAGTGAATTGAAAGAAAAACGAATTAACATTGAACATCCATACAAAACTGTCACATCACAAATATTTTTTCCAAATTTCATAAAATTTTTCGAAGTACAAACATTTTTAAATAATTATTTCAATTGTATACTCGATTTTAGCTAGAGTTGATTTCAAAGAGATGATAGATTATATGATCCATACTAAAATTCAGTTCAGCCAAGATAGCCTTCTTTCCATATGTGAACGTTTTTAATATTTAACTGCAATATAAATTTTTTTTCTAGTTTAATCGTTCTCGTAAAATCACAATATACACTAGAAAATAAGTTGTTAATTGTACTTCTAACTGCTGTTGTTTTCTTTCATAGATAAATTTATGTTCTACAGTTACAATTGATGTACATTTCGTTTATCTACGATTTCATTATCCGAAATAATCTGTCAAGATTGAATGAAATAATGCTTCATTCTAGAATAATTCGAGCTTTCAACTCTATGTCACAACATGTTCGACAAATAAGGATTAGTTGTTGTTCTCTTCTTTTCTTGCTGCATAATATTATTTGATCTGATTGAAATGTATGCATTTCATCATAATCATGAATGTGATCTTATGCTGAATTGAAATAATACCAATATTCAGAAGGCCATTCTCGCGCTGATGATTAATATTTCTCACTTTAACGTGTAAAGGACGTGTATTCGTTTTGATTATTTTTTAGTAGTGAAAAAAATATCAACGATTATGGCGTGTATATAATACATGTTCGAGGATTAAATCATAATTTCGAAACGTCATCCGATTGTTATATCCTGACAAACAGAAAAAAAGAGAAAAGAAAATATGTAGTGTAAAATCTAAATCAACAATTGAAAAATTGTATGAAATTAGTAAACATACATTCTATTTCCCGTGTTATTATGAAACAGAGTTCTGCATATTTCGTATTGTGGAAAATTGTCAAATAATAGAAGACATTCCCAAGTAGACAAGAAAGATGAAAGATTCGTCCGAAGGACGCGGTAAATCTCTCGAAAATGAGGAACATCTGTGTGTAAAGACTCGAAATTTTTTTCGTAACTTATCGAAAGTCTGAACTAGAAGGAAAACTGTAGGCGTAGTGTAAGTTTTTTGGGAGTACAGCGAGAACTTTAGGAGAATGCACGTTCTCTTTGCTGCTACAATCTTTCAGACAGACTTTGTCCTAAAGAAATCGAGAAAAAGCCTCTGATTGGGAGATCGAAGCAAAATCAAAACGCCGGTGACGTGTACATCACACCTGTCGCCACCAGGCTGCAAAAAAATACAAAGTATAAAGACGAAAACAATATTTTTCTTTATTGCACTCATACCATGTTAGCTCTTAAATCAATGAAAACTACTGCAAATTCTGTGAACAATGATGTGTGTTCAAAACGAGTTTGTGGCAAAGATATGAAAAAAAAACTTTTTGTTCTCATAAGTAACTACGAAGATGTTCCCTTCTATAAATAATCGTTAACACGAATAGAAGCATATTCACTACACAAACAATCTTTCCATTATCTCAAACTGAGGATAACATTCTTCGAAAGATTTGCTATTTAAGGTTATGAATCGATTGAAGAAAACCTCTATTGTAAACGCTAGCTATAAACTAAGTATATACCTGAATAATTTGTTCGTCTGCATACTTTACATGATTGAAAAGTATATGGAGTTTGAATTGTAGAAAAAAAGAATGTTTTTTAAGTGATTGCATTTGTAACGTGGTGAATAATCGTGCTGTGTCGTGTGTGTGTACAAAGAAATTTATAATTTTAGAAGTGTACATAAATGGAGAGTTATGTATACACAACTAAGTTTTGCTTATGTTGAGCACAGATCATACACGCGAGTAAATGAAACAGTCAATGGAGAGACAGAGAGTTTTTTCTCTCTCTTCCTCTCTCTCTCTCTGTCAATCTGCAATATTGACATTTTTTTTCATAATCATCAAACAAAGCTTATAGTTATGAGAAAACGATTCTCACACATGTACTCATAAAGTTTACTTTTGGCTTCCAAACAGAAAATTATTTGAGCAAATATTGTGTCCGATTGGTAAAAAGAAGACAAAATGTGGACTCTCATGACTACATACACAGTTAGACTGACAACTATCCACTTTACCCTTCGTTTACTTCTTCCTTGCATTTTTTTTTTGTTATTTGCAATCTTTCAACAAACAAAGTGTGGTCGTAACTCTCTCTCTCTTTTTTATAATGTTTGTTGTGTGTGTGTTTGTGTGTATTTTGCACAATACGATCTAAATAAAACACTGACAAGAAAGAAAAGCGCGAGAATACAAATTTTTTATCCGATTTCAAACAAATGAAGAGAGAAGAAAATGAGTTCAGAAAAGCATTTATTTCGTTGTTATACATTAACGTAAGCATCGTTTATATATATAAGACTTTCAAACGATGAGGTAAGTAAAAGAGTTTTCTAGTTAACTGCTGATCTTAGACTACTATAAAACGAAATAGAGATATGTTGAAAACTGGACATTTGGCTGATAAACAGGTGTCGTTTGTACAAGAATATACAGACATTGTATAATATCTTTATCGTCTTATCTTTATTGTATATGTATTATAAGAAAGATATCGTAAAATACAATATGCGTCTATACGAGGATACATTGGCTGTTATTTCTTATCAATGACCAATCAAGTTGAATTAGAAAAGATAATTTTTTTCCTTATTGTCGGTATGGTTGCATATAACAAAGAGAGATATCTACTTTTAAAACAGAAAGAAAAAAACGACACCAAATTGTAAAAAAAGGAAGACATAGAAACTCTCCACATATTCTGAAAAGAGGATAATTTTTCTAAAAATTATGAATTATGATAAAATGACTAAAAACAGTATTAGTATTATTCTTTGCTCAGAGATAATCATGAACTAAACTTTAAAAAAACTATCATATTGAATGTTGATACGTCGGATAAATGAATCCTTTTGATTATGATATGAGAAATTATAATATCATACATTTTATCATAAGAACTGAAAGACCAGACTATAAACGGCATTGGATATTATTCTTTTATTAATCATTCATTACTACTATGAGTATCGAAAAACTTGTTTTTAATAAAACTTAAACTACTAAAAATTTTTAATTCTAATTTGGTTTTGTCTAGAAAGTTACATAAATTTGTTGTAAAATATTTTTTAGTCCAATCTACTATATGATATGTAGCGATAGTTTATTTTTTATCAATAAAGTTTACTAAGGCCACTTTTGCTTTTGCTGAAACACACTTTTTTCTACATTTTTTCCTACTTTCCTAAACTAGCCGTATCAGTGGTAAAGACTGATAGTGCAAAGTTTTATGCTTGCAGAAAGATCCAATGTTTTATTCTTCTACAAGCCCGATAAACTCAAATTAAAAATGCAATTTTACTTTATGAGATTAACTCTGCAAGAGAATCTAGAACACTACACACAATCTATATTATTATCAAACGCACATGCACACAATTTTGTTATGGATACTGCACGTTTGAGTTTTAAAGTAGCGATAAGAAAAACGAGACACTTTTTTTTTTTCTGCTGTTTTTTGACAGTAACTCTTGTCATTTTAATAGTAAATTATATATAGAGAAATGTGTGTTAAGTGTTCGATGTCTTTTGATGAAAAATTTTGATGAAAATACTACTGCTTTTTCTTTCCCCTCTGTCTCTCTCTCTCTCTCTCTCTCTTTTTTACAGTAGAAAAAACGATTCGTCAATAAGGACGCGAATTGCCGACGGATAAAAAAATGCATATTATATTTATAAATGTCAGCCGTCGTATGTTCTCGGTATTGGTTTGAAAATAACGACTCATTTCTTTCTCTCATTTTTTTATCCTAAAAAAAAGGAAAAAGAAGAGTGTACGCGAGTCCGACATTCCCGGGTATCAATTCGCTTTGATGATCATCACATCATCCATTCATTCATCGTGGTCTTCTTGTTTTGTATGTGTATGCCTATGTGTGCACCACCTACGAGAGTAGAGAAAGAGAGAGAGTAGAAAGTAAGATATATATATTCTTAATATGAAGTGAAAAAGAAAGCCGGAATAATAAACTACATATAGAACACAACACGAGAAAAGAAATACACAATATTCATTTCCGTTATTTTCTCTTTTGAGTGAGGGATTTCAATTTTTTCATCGTCTTTTAATTTGTTTATACTTTTTTTTATCAACGAGAAAAAATTATGATCAAAAATATTTCATATTATTTACTTTTACCTTTTTTCTGTAATACTCATCTGGAAACATCCTCGACTCTATAATCGGCGTGTGTGTGTGTGTGTGTGAGTGTTGTGTATGTGTGTGTGTGTCAGTTAATAAACAACAAGTATGCGTAATCATTCAACGTCCACTGGTTCATCATCTACATCATCTTCCTCATCTTCTTCACCAACAACAAAACCACAAGATGATAATGAAACAAAACCAAATATACAAGAACTATTGCAACCAATAAATCAAACTTCATCCTCAAATGTCTCAACATCATCTGGCATCGAGTCAGCCGTTACACAAAATTATACCATTCTATTACCAGTACAATCTTGTCATTCACCAAAGTTAGAAAATACGCCAACAGCAAATACTCCAATATGTTATTATGATCCGACAAATAATACAACAATGTATATGCAACAGCAACAACCACCTTATGATCCTCAGCAAACACAGCAACAACAAATAAATATGATAGACAATCAGAATATGATGGTTGATAATGGCCATCGATCCGGTACAAAAACGACGAATGATGTTTCACGTCGCAGTAACACACCATCAAAACCACCTTACAGCTATATTTCGCTGATAACAATGGCTATACAACATTCGTCTAGTGGTATGGTGACATTAAATGATATTTATACATTTATTATGGAGATATTTCCATACTATCGACAGCATCAGCAACGATGGCAAAATTCCATTCGACATAGTTTAAGTTTTAATGATTGTTTTGTTAAAGTGCCTAGAGGACCTGATCGGCCTGGAAAAGGTATAGTTTGGCATCTCATGAATTATTTAATGACTATAGTTCTATGTATTTTTTAGGTTCATATTGGACGTTGCATCCCGACGCCGGTAATATGTTTGAAAATGGCTGCTATTTACGCCGACAGAAACGTTTTAAATGTGCTAAACAACCGTCAAATAAATCTCGAGCGCATAATTCAAGAAATGCGTCGAATAACATATCAAATACGAATAACAATAATCAAGGTAATCGTACATTATCGGATACAATGAGTAACAATGCGTCAAGTGATGAATGCGAATCGGATGATGATGACGAGCATATAGATGGTTTAAATCATCAGTCACAGCTTGTTAATCAACAGAATTTTCCACAAACATTTTCGCAACAACAAACACTGGAAACACATTTTCACAATAATAATAATAACTCAAAACGTTCAACACGAACATCACCACATATAACATTTAATAATTCAACATTGACGATAAATCATTTTCCACCAAAAACTACATTAATATCAGATCCAAAACACGATGAAAAACATTTGAACGGTATGAGCAAAGAAAGGATTTCTGTTCTTTATTTAATTTCCATACTTTTTCAGGAAAAACAATGCTTGTATCACCGTCATCATCTAATAAAACAGGTGAACTATGTCAGTCTGTTCCTCAATCACCTCCAGAAACTGTACAACATCGATCTCTACCTCGCGGACAATCATTACTATATGGATCAAATTCTGATTCAACAACCGATTCGGTCGATGATCGTTTACTATGTTATTCGTCGACAACAACTAATCCAATTCAACATCATATAATTCATCCACCTTCGATTATTCCCGTTAATGATTTAGAACAAAATACAATTAAAGAATCGCAATGCACGTCTGTGTATCTTGAATTACAGCCATTTAATAACGGCGGTAGTGGCGGTGGTGGTAGTGGTAGTGGTGTACCGACAACAACTACCGTTTACTCTGCCGAATATCCGGGAACATATTATTCCTTGCTGCCGGGTGCTGTAACAACTCAGACTGGTACGAATACGTGTCTTGTTACTCGTGAGCATGCTTATAATACCTACAATCCACCACCACCATCAACGGGAGCATATTTTTACAGTACATTTTCTTCTTCTAATGATTACACACCACCAATGGAAGGAGCTTCTATAGCTCGACTTTAGTATGTGGTGACCATCGTCTGCATGTCTAACTAAAGCAACATGTGATATCACAACAAAAGAGAAATAAAGAGAATGATTGTCATTATTATTATTCATTTCTTATTTATTTATTGCTTATGTGCTATATGTGTCTTCTTTTGTTTCTTCTTTTCGTTTTTTTTATGCATCTATTTCTTCATATTGGCCTTTGTACAGTATCGTTTGACACAGAAATCATCCGTCTCTTAGTTGTTTAAGTTATTTTAAAATGATAGACCAGAAATTAATAACTATTTTGTTGTTCAATGCGAGTTAAAACGTGCCGTCCGTGTTTGTGTATTATAAAACAATCGCGGTTTTTTTAATCCGTACCTTTTTTGTTGTTCTTTATTGAATTCAAGTTGTTTGTTGCTTTATCCTATATAATTTTATAGATAAAGAAAAATTCGAATATGTTTAACGTTGTTAGATGTATTTACTGTGATAGATAGCTGTATGTTTCTCTTTTAATTAGTAAAAGACGTCCCATCTGTAAGAGATGAAGAAAAACCAGATTTGAACGATAATATTCGTTACTTTTTTTTAATTTCATCCTAGACGTATATTATATCGTGTACCACATACTATAGTTATACTATCAAGTAAACAGCATGATGAAAATAAGAAATATGAACAGAAGTAAAAATTGATCTTCAAAAGAAGAGAGAAAGAAAAAATCGAGTTGATACTCAATTGACCCCATATTCATGAAACTGAATGACAATTTATACGAACCTTACAGCGTAGAGTTTTTATTTTTTTTTCATTTTCGTTTTAATTGCCAACTATACGTTTCCAGTTAAAATTTCATAATAGTAATAATAACAATTTACTGATGCGAGAATAAAGATGCCCGAGGTTTCTTACTGTACATTTCTCTGATGTTTCTTATCGAGTGAATATGTTATTTATTCATAAAGAACAAAAAAATATGTTTTCTTATTTTAAGAACAAAATCTCAAATAAATGAATGAATGAATAGAAGTTTAAACTGTAACTTGAACAAAAAAATTGTTCTGTATGTCGGAGTGACTACATTAAGTATGTTATATTATTTCTGTCTTTATACTCACCTGATCGGATGATATTATGATCTCAAATCATACACATTTGTTCTTCCAATGATTGATAACAACACTTCATACACTCATTGCTAAGTCATTTTTCTCAATTTATTCATATTCACAAAATTTTCTGTTTTCTATTCTTATCACTGTCTGATCTTCATAATGCTATATTCTTTTTCTTTTTATATTAAACAGTTATGCAAATTTTTTTCGATCACCTGAAATGCGATGATTTTAAATACAATAAATTTTCAAGCCTAGATAAGATAATGTTCAACAGTAAATTAGTTCCATTGAGTTTCATTTTTTATAAGCAAACTTAAACTTGTACACTTCTACTTTTAGTACATAAGCTAATTGAGGAGAATAAATTTATGACTGTCTCTCTACTATTAACATATTAAATATTTTTAAATGACACCTCGTACACTAGTTTTGTGTCTGTCTTTTTAATTTATTATTTGATGTTTGATTTTACTCTACATTGTAAAAATGCCACTCCAACGTGAAGTTGGTCGGAACAAAAAAGGAAACAAAGAAGAAGAAGAAGAAAGAAAAAAAATATTGGTGACAAATTATTTTTGCTTTGTATTGTTGAACTTCTCTGCCTATATGATATTTACCCTATATCATTTTAATAGTTTATATATAGACCATAAAATAGTTAAACGCTTTTCAATAGACTCCAATTGTAAAACTTTAAAAAATATATTTTTATGTACATGTGCCAAAGACTATTAAAAAGACATTGAATTGTCGTATAATGTACACGTTCGATACATGGTCATCAATCTTATTATAATAATGTTTGTCTTCAATTTTCTCTCATTTTTTTTCTTCTAGGATATAGAGGTAACTTTGACCAAATAAAATGAAAAAAAAGAAAAAAAGAAAAACGAAATAGTCAAATATGAACTCTGATCAGGTGATTATATGTAAATAGTTTCATATCATATTTGCATATGTCTCATTTTACTTTGGAGAAAAAAATATTTTCTATTTGAAAGTAAGTTGAATCAATTTGATAAAAATTTTCAAAATTCTAACTTGCATTATAATTCAGTTAACTAAGTTTCATTATTATAGATGTTCAACTCAGCTTTTTTAGAAAACTAAGCATCATTGCAACATCGTACTATTTCTTATACGATTGACTTGTAATAATCAAAAATGGCATTTTATTTATACATAAACTGAATGGTCTCTTTTGAAAAAATTGGTTAATTATATTGCTCGTTTCAAAAATCTTGACATGCTTGAAGCCATAAAAGAGTACACACGATTCTTTGTTACATACTCTGCAGTTAGTAATGGCAACATTTTTCAACGCTCTGAAGCATATGCCATTGGTTCACAGATAAATTACGATTATTCTGTTTTAAGAAACTTCTGTTAGAGAAGAGAGAGTGCAGGGAGTCTTATGTGTGTGTGTATCAATCGCTCATCGTACGTACACAGATTTTTTGAGATTAGTATGGAGAAGGATCCTGTCTAGAGTAACATGTGGATGAAATGAATATTCACTTAAAGTCTCGCTCCTATATGCCTTTATATTTCTCATCATTGATGTTTCTCAAAACGAAAATCTCTTCAATATGAGAAAAACAAGACGTATTTCTTTCGCAGAAAATAAATTGCAGTTCGAAGAGAAGAATAGTTAGAGGAATAGTTTTGTCTTTTGATAAGTATTTTCTTGAATTTAAACATATTTCAGATTTGCTCCATAGACGAGTGTATTACAGAGATTCTTCTTAGTAATTTTAAAAAAGCCTATTTTACTCTAAAACAGCCGTCCTTTTTCATTCATCAAATATATTCATACAGATTAAAATGTAATAGTCTGTCTATAATATCGAAATTGTAGATAAATCAGATTCTAACATATTTATTTTGAGGGTTTTGGAGATAGACTAGACACTTACAAATGTAAAATCAACTTTCAACGATTTAACTATTTACTATTTGTAGTGTAATTGTTTTAGTGTTAGCGACATTCCATTTTCGTTATTACCCGTTATAAATTTTTGTGTATCTATCGAAAAGAGAAGAAAGGTCATTTACAAGCTGCAGAAAATCTCTAATAATCCCTTAAATTTACTCTTCTGTATATTATTGTTACTCTACTCTACTATGAGCAAACAGCATTTAGGTATATAGCATCGGATTGACTTTAGTAACTAGACTGATTCAGATATACATTCTATAAACAAACAATTGTTGTATTGAGAACAGCCAAAGGATGTACTTGATGTAACTATCAATTAAAAATGATACCCTGTGGCTTAGTCTATTTCGTTTATTCAAAACGTATCCGAATAGACCCTGCTTGGCACTTGTATTTTTTTTTTCATCGATAAAATAAAAGAAAATAATAAAAATTTTCTCGTCTATATATAAAGAGTTTCACACTACATAGGAGAATATCTCAACTATTACTAGCTAGAAGTACTACTATATAAAGGTAAAACAAAATGATTGTACACGCATTTCTCGATTAAAGTGCATTTGAATAATAAAGAAAGTTTTTAAAAATCTGAAGTAGACAAGTATGTGTACGTGAAAATAAATCAAGATATATCTAAAAGCTTATCAGTTTAAATGAGAAAAAAACTACGATGTTTTTTTTTTTTTTTTTTAAAAAAACCTTATCTATGAGAGAGAGAAGGACATAGAACGGCAATAAACAGTTTAACATACAAGTATGGAACTATTAAAAGCATACTTATAATTCATGTATTTGTGTGATGACAGTTTCAAGTAGAAAATATTATCACGTATACATTTCATTCATCTGATTATAAATACACGAGCTCTCAAAGATAACTAAAATCGAAATTGGAACAATTTTATTAACATTGTCCATATAAGCATAAAGCATGTACATTTTCTATTCATAAGTAAAAACTGGAACTCAAGTAGGCGTACATGACTTTAAATGATGAGGTGAACGTATTATTGAACAAAATTTTCAGATATTGGACAGTCTTCGGATAAGATTATTTATGTTTTTTTGCTTTTGATACAGTCAAGTAATGTGAAGAAGAAGAAAAAAAAATGTTTTAAACATATAATCAATTAAATATATATATGTTAACAGTGATCGAGAGAAATTTTTGTAGATTTAGTTAGGTTAGAATTTGTTATTGAGGGTGTAAGAACGAATTATAATTTATGTTATTGAGAGAAAATAAGTTTACAAAAGAAAGTCAGATAAAAGTCACAGTGAGATTATATATGCTAGATGATAGTCATAGACGAATATTTTTATCTCTCATTATTTCTATACTTATGTATTTCAAAAAAATTTTTCATTTTAGTTTTTAACAATAAGACAAAAATGGATTTTGTTGAAATTTTTGGTCATATTTCGTTAAAAATGTCATTCGAGTCGAATATAAGTGTATAGAAAAAAATATTTGTTTGCTAAAAGATTTAAAGTCTCAGTTTCGTAAATAATACCATATGCTCAAAAAAGAAAGAGAACGATGTATATGTGTATCACTATCACATTACAAAGTATGAATACCTATCATCTGTATCAATGATACCGTTCGATCTAATATACAACACAAACAATGAACTGTCGATACATATATTATCAGGAAGCATTAGTTTAACAATCAAATGAAATTATCCAGTAGAGAAAATTTTGTGTTAATGGTAACACGAAGATCAATAAAGTCGTCCAGCACGTTCAGATATTTCACATTTTTTATTTTGTTTTTAATTTATTGTTATTTATAATTTTTTTTATTTTAAGACAAATGAGGAAAATAGAAGAGAGTTGACTGATAAAAACTGAAAAAGAAATGGAAAAATTAACTATCCATATATTCATTCTATGATTCTAAGCAGAGCCAGTTTCAACTAAAATTTCGGTGATCCAGAGTATAGTAGAGGTATATTATAACGACAAGATCCCATCGAATGCAATCGTGCAATAAACTAACGATTCATATCACAAAATAGCTTATCAAAGCGTTATCTCTTTTTATTATCAAAACTATATATCATCATTCAATACACTTTAGAATTAAAAAAAAACTATCACATAAATGCATATTACACAAAATCACGAAAAATTGTCAAAAATATTTAAAAAAAATTATCTAAAATAAAAAAATAATCACAGTATAATATTTCCAACAATATTCTATTGTATATTCATTCTTTGACTAATATAAATTTTATTAATTTAAATAAGTATGAGGATATGTTTGATCATCACGGGAATACGAAACGTCTGGGAATCGTAATTGAGATAATGCCTGACGATATTTTTTGAAAAGTGATTGAACTATTGTGATTGAATCACCTGAAAGACATACATTAGAAAAAGTAAGATAGTTTTCTTTTCTTCTAAAATAATTTTCTATTTTACATTGCACATTCTGTATAGTTGATTGCATACCTTTTGTATCAGTTGGATAATCTGCCTGCCATGTAAAAAATGCGAATTCTGCTTCAAGAAATATACGTTCATTCAGATAAGTTACATTCAATGGTTGATCTTCGAAAAGACATCTGGCTAGTGTGTCTAAAAATACATGCCATCGTGGAGCATAATAACTGAAATAAAAAAAAAATAGATATAGAACTACTTGTTGCTAAATAGGCAAAAACTTTGACATACTCTCGCATCATACCAGACCAAAATTTACTTGCATAATCGTAAAGCTAAATAGAGAATGGTAAAAAATGTACTTAGAATAATTTTATAATTTATACACTTACGCCTAAAGTGTATTTGGCTCCCCAAATAGACACTTGTAATTTGGCATTGAATTTATAAAACTGTAACTCTTCCTCATTGCGAGCGAATGTTATTGCATCCGCTATCCAATTACCAAGCAAAAATCGACGATCACTTGCTAGTAATATTTCTGTATCGTTCAAAATATCAACCATCACAGCTGCTTGATTACTTAATTAAAAAGAATAAAAAAGATAAGCCAATATTACAAGAGTAGTTTAATAGATATTTGTACCCAAATTCATATAGATCACTATTTTTCCATGCTGTTTCCAGTTTGAAATAAACATTTGTAAAATAATATCGTAAAACTTCTTTTGTTAAATCAACTAAATCATATCTGAAAGAAAATAAGCACTCAATTTATGTATTTCCACCATTAGTAATTAATATTTTATTACCTAAATAAATCTGAATCTAATTTTGATGATGCATCAACCATCAACGACCAAGCCATTAATAAAGAGGTTACATTGAAGTCAATCTAATCGAGTAGAGGAAAGGATTCATTATGGTATGAAAAGTGAGAGTATTCGTACGTTAGACAGTTGCTAGTCATTTACATACTTTTTCATCCATATCCAATGCGGGACGTCTCACCAGGATTGGTCGGGAGGGATGTGGATTATTATTATAGACAGATGTCTAAATACAAATTTAGAAATATTTTATTTTTATCTTTCTTTTACTTTCAAAGAGAGATGCTAACCTCAAGTAATTGCCAGGCAACTATGGTAGTAATAGGCACTGGGTCTGATGTTTCATATCGTCGACGTACGTATTCAATAAGCCTAATAAGTAAATCATATACACGTTGTAATCAAAATGTGTAGTTTCTATTTATGTACCAGTCCTTAATCTCTTCGTCGTTCAATTGTTTTCTCCAAGATTGTTCTAATGCAAATTCGTACATTACTTCATTTTGATTTATTCCTTCCATAGTGATACCAATACCAATCATCAATGTTGCCGAAAAATTCCGAGCAGCCGTTGGGCCCTAAATAAATATCTTTTCAAAATAAAAATCGAGCAGTTTTGATGTATGTATTACATACAGTGTTAACATTTCTTAATGTACCAAACATCTCGTTATTTCCACCAAAATCATGCAGCATATTCCAAATGTAGGGATGACCGTAAAACGAGTTAAATCTTGAATATTGTGGCAGAGCTTCTGAATATAGATCCAATAATATAAGATTTCCCTGTAGAAAAAAGAAATTTATTAATAAGTGGGTTTATAAAATCAGTTTGATACTTACCAAGGGTACTTTACTTAAAAACGCTTGTACACGGTCAGTTGTCCAGAAGCCATCAAGAAATAGCCATGCTTGCATTACCCTAGAAATACGCCATTTTACCATAACATCTTCACAAGTAGTCTATAGTATCGTACCAAACAGCGTTCGCATCAGCTTTTTTCATTGCATTATATATTCCAGCATTGACATCAGCCAAATAGGCTAAGTCACTAGCAAAACATAAAACTCAAGTTATGTAGTTATTTAAGGACAAAGAGCATAAATACCTAATCGGTGGTGTCATCTCATTAAATAGATCACACGCATAATAGTGCGACGTGAAATTTAAAGCATTTATCGTCTAAATAGAAATACAGTGTATGCTATAATACATATTCTGAGAAAGATTCAACTTTCTCTAATTACCGCTTGTACTAACTGTGAACCTATTTCAATGAAAAGCGGATCGGATGGATCCAAATACGGTAAGCTAAATAGAATTGTTCAGAGTTAAGCCAAATAGTTCTCAAAGAGAACATTGTCATCATACCATGAATCGTTGCAATCTTTAATAGAGGAAAACAAAATTTTAATTACTGAATGATTGTGCTAATAAATAAGTTCTTACCAAAGCCTGCCCAATTAGCCGAATTATGAAATGTTGCTGCTGGAAAAAGTCTAAATATATAATTGAAAATTCACTCACAAGGGAACCACCGCAGATGTCCAATCGCTTTTTTTCTCTAAACATCCATAGTTAAAGATAATTTTTGATGCTGATTACGAATCTGTTAGCCATTTGTGCCCATATGACCTTTTGGAGTAGATCTGGTCTCTAGAGTTCCATCTCAAAATCCAAGAGAAAGAGATTTTGATTTGTATGTCTTTCAGAACATTTCGGGTCACATGAATGGAAAAATTTTCAAACATAAAGGTAGAATTTACATCCCGATTTACTGCAGAGTCTTTTATTAGAGTACAGGGTATGATAAAATTATATGAGAGTGAGTGAGAGACTCAAGTAAACCGTGTTAAACAGACTAAAGTAACTCTATATTTTAGTTACAACTAGCGGAAGTACCCGATGTCGGTCTAGATAATTTGATAGTACATGTTTGACGTATGAGAAGACGACGTCGCTATGGTCTTCTATGGATTACCGATCGGGGATATCGCACAATACGCTTGGATCTT